CGGCTCTTGTTCCGGGGGGCAAGGCAATGGTCATGGCAGCGGGAGATAACCGCAGGTTTGGCCTTGCACAATTCCCTGATGCTTGCCGTGATGTTGGATTGGATGTCAACATGGAGACCATCAAGGCGGACTGCAGTAGTTTCTTCAGTGGGGCAGGTACTGCCACGAACGATCTGGCACAGACCAGTATGCAGGGATACTCGGCAGAAGATTACAATCTTACACTGTATACAATGAACAAGCCATAGTTCCTTTTTCCGTTTCTTTTCATGTTAAATAAGCACTTTTGTGATTAATGACCTATCTTTTCGTTTCTATTTCAGAAATAGATTATTGACCGACCGGTGTCAAAGGTACCGGTACCGGTAGGTGTAGGTGTACCGGTACCATTGTTTTCTGAAACCTCTACTCAGTCAATCACTGACTGCGCGATAAAAACCGCGCGACAAACAAAAGAAAACGAAACAAAATGAAAACCTTGTTACGTCCAACAGCAGTAGCTGTGAAACTCAAACAATAATAACACTGCGCATTATGTCACAGCCATGCCTCCCAATTCCTCGCAACCACCCTAATCGAAAACGCCGTCGGCATAATTCTTCGAAAGAGGATGCCGCTAGCAATGATTCCACACCTGCTGCAACCTTTGACAATATTGAAACCATGGATGCCACCGAGTATCTCTTTCGGGTGGTCCAACAAGCCAAGGGTTTGCCCGAAATCTTTGTAGCGGGAGAGGATAATGAGAATTTCAAGAATGCACCAGCTTTCGATCCAGATTTTGTGCCCATTGATGGTTCGGCGGCTAGTCTTTCCTATCTGCTCAGCAAACGGACGCAGTTGCTGCCACCGCCCTCGATACATCATTTGCCCCAAGATTGCAATCGTTGGATGGACAAAAGCATTGCTAATTTTGAAAGCTTGCGACGTTATTTAAGTACTTGTAAAGAAGAAGGGATCGGGGGTAAAAAGACAAAACGTTTGGCCTTTCCGGCCATGAAAGATCAAGATGGGTGGCTGGCCTTTTGCCTTGGTCGAAATTGGAATGGGCAAGGACAGAGCGATGTTAATGATGCTACTAGTAGTAACATGGTGGACAACGAGACAACTGCATCCGAGTCGACTGCAACAGAAAATTCAATACCGTTGTGGAAACGGGACATACCGGAAAAGGGCCACGATCCATGGGTCCGAATCGTTCTTCAAATAGATCAAGTCTTGTTGCGACGAGTCCTTTCGCATGTGGGACATTTTCTTTGCAATGATTTAGATGATGAGGATGATGATAAGAAAGATGCAGCAAGACATTCGCACGCCTTGAAATGGATGTATTCCCTCTTGGCCCGTTTGGATTTTCCCATTCATCGAGATGATGCTTCCGTACTCTATCAATTGCTGAAGGCGCTGACACGAGCCAGATCGTGCTTGGTACTCCCACCGCCAGCCGAAACGAATACAACGAATACAACGAATACCCCATCGACGTCAAACAACAGTGAAGAATTGCGGACACGATTGGCCCAATGGAATCTCCTGATTGTCGTTATTGGAGTCTTCTTTGAACAAGGTGGTGCTGCGGCCAACCTCATGACTTGCGTGTGACAAGGACAGGAAGCAAAGATAATGGCGGGCGATGGTGCGCAAGGACAATAGATTTGTGCCAATGGAAAAGCATTCATTCATCAACGATATTATGCTATTGACCTTACTAATAATACAAATTAAATTAGCTTTTGTTTTGACAATCGAATAAATGAATCAATCAATCAATCGCTCGGGTAGCCATTCAATTTTCGTAGACATTGATATTTCGATTTATTCGACATCCCTCTGGTTGTTCCTGATTGAAGCATTGGATTAGTAGTAGCTGGGTGCCGTTGTAGCAGTAGCAGAAATAGTAGTACAGTACTAGCGATGATTCGCTCTTGGTCGTTCAGCACCTCCTGACATGATGCCGGACGAGGTAGTGGGCAATGGTCTCTCTCTCTCTCTCTTTCTCTGTTGATGAGGCTCAAATTGCCAGAGTTCCAAACAGATAGGTCGTCAATGCCGGAAAGGCCTGGGTGCATTGTACTATACAGAGTGGAATCTGGAGCAACAGGCTCACCAGATATCCAATCCAAATCTCTGGTCCCGTGTGAAAGAACATGGCCGTCTTGTAGGCGCCGAAAAAGGTAATGACGTACAGATTTCCGAGCCACAAGAGCAACAAGGTGGGAATCAACCGTGCACTCGATAGAAACCAACGCAGCACTCCCATTCTCGAGCTCATGCTGTTCTTAATGGCTGATTGCCAGTATGGGACTGCAAAGGAGTGTATTACTTCCACCAAGGCAATGGGTAATATTTGGGCAAAGTATAGGACGATGTGATCCGAGAAATCCGTCACTCTCCCTTGACATTCATGATAGTGCGATTGTAACAAATGAGAGTACCAACATTGAGTTCCGGGTGATGACACAAATATTTCCTCAATCATATCAAAGAGTAGATAGAGAATCCAACCCCGCAATTGAATGAGGATAATGTAAAAGTATAAGCGGCGTTTGGTGTGAACTTCGGCGGCGGTTGCAGTACTCCCAGTAAACAGCGCTGTGATGATTCGGAGTAATACTGGAAAGAGCGGGAGCAACCAGGCATCGGGGAAGCGGGCCAATCGTCGTGAAAACAGCAGATATGGTGGCTACAACAGTGAAAGAAGGGCAGTGCGCACAAGTTTGTTTTGTTCAAGATGCAGAATCATGTGAGTTGCTCTGCCAATCATTCATGGGTTCACATTGTAGAAGAAAACGATCGAGCAACTGACTTACCGGTGGTTGGCATATCCCTGAATATGCAGTAGAGGACAAATCATCATCCAAATTCTTGCCACAGCATATCAAGGCTCTCTCGTCCTCCATGGACGACGAAAAGACATTGACGAATGCTTTGTGGCATTCTTCTGCTTGTGAATGTGAATACTTTTCCACGTCAATCGGAATATATTTTCGTTCGCCATGATTGTTAATGGACCCACATACCAGCACCACAATGCAAAGTGCAAAATGAACCAGCCATGGTGACACCAAAAATGTGCGCATAGTAGTCATTGTGGAAGAGGTGCAAGATCGAGACTGGTTGCTGAACTGGGAATTATTGTTGGTGAACGGCATAGGGTACCGAATGCGTCCGAAAAGTGAAGTATCTTTTTTGTGTCGTTCTTGGCGTCGTCAAGTCGTGCGCATGGAGTTTGAAGTTCAGTCGTTGACACTACCTCAAATATGGTCCACGTTGCAAAAATGGCGGTAAGATAGAACCCGAAGTATTACGTTCCACAGTGTTTTCACTTGAATGTGCACAAATCCATGAAGCGACGCTTGGGCTGACTTTTCGATGCCTTGTGTGTGTGTGTTTATAGAACTCCTATTTTTCTACAGTACGATAGTTGTTTTGTTGACGATGATGTTTTGGGCATGAATGTTGGGGGATATATGAAAGGGGAACCTTGTCCCCCTCATTGGCAAAGTCATCCGTCGAAATGAGTCGACGGAACGACCGTTATACGATACGAACGACAATGGACCTCGCAATGATGCAACAATGAATGTTCATATATAGTGTTCTGTAGTTTCTTGTTGCCTCTTTAGCGTTTGAGAGGAAGCTACTGAAAAGACATTGCAAAATCAATCATGAAGCTTACAACAGGAGGACTAGCCCTCTCCTTGGCCGTTGGAGGCTATTCCATGAACAGTGGGACGATTTCCAAGGCGTAAGTGATTTATTTCAGTCTTACGTGAGAAATATACGATGATTCAATTATATTCTTCGTTTTGATTTGTGACGCGGAAATTGAAAATGGGCTCGGTACCAGGTACTCCTTTCAATTGCGTTTCCTTGTACAATAATTCTCTAATTTATGTTTCTCTTTGGATTACAGCATTTTCGAAAACAAGGATACTCTTTTGGAACGACGTGAGGCATTCGCCCATCGAAGGGCCCTGGAAGTGGAGTATTTGGAACCCACCTTTCTCACGCCCAGCAGCAGCAGCAGCGATAATTTGCGTTCCAACAACAATCAAGATCACAGACAATTGGATCAAAAGTCTTGTGATGTTGCCTTCTTTAGTTGTATTCCGAACGATGTCTGTGTGGATTGTTTCACACAGCTGGAGTTGAATAATATTGATTGGGCGGGTGTCACTCCGGACACAACCTGTGACGACGTGGTCCGCTTTTTGAATAACAAGGGACATTGCCCCAATCTTTCCGGGGATAGCAAGGGGAAAGAGGTCTTTTGTGACACCTTTCGTAGCTGTGTCATCTGGAAAGGCTTTGGTGAAAACGATGATATGGTACCAGATGAGGACGACGAAGATTTTGTGAATTGTACTGCCTTGACCGAGTGCAAGTGGCCAGGCATGCACGAAAATTGGATTGGAGATGGTGTCTGCCACGACAACCTCCATGGATGTTACAACACAAAAGTCTGTGGTTGGGATGGCGGTGACTGTTGTGAAGATTCTTGTGGCAAGACTTTTAACGCTAACCCTCAGCTTGTGGAATGCGGACACGATGGATTTGCCTGCCGCGACCCCACTTCTGCCAACTGCGATCCATCGCTTACCAAATTCTGTCCCGTTGACCCCGGGGCCGGTGATGATGTTGTGGAATGTGGACCTGGAGAACAAATGTATCGATTGATGATGTACGATTCCTTTGGCGATGGTTGGGATACGACCAAGGTGACCATCAAGCTACAAGGAAATAGCAAGACTGTCTACAGTGGAGGACTCAAAAAGGGATCCTATGGAGTGGAGCAAATTTGTCTATCCAAGGAGCCCGCTTGTTACAGTGCAGAGACTGGCGGAGGTGTTTGGGGGATTGAATCGTCTTGGGAAATCAAACCCGCCAGAGAAGGACCAGCAGCAAGTAAGTATCCAAATGTGCATTGTACTGTATTTCTCTATGATACCGGTATACATGTAACTAATCGCATGTATCGTTAAATTGTAGTTGCTGGAAGTGGATCGCCAAACAGCTGTCAGTTCAATGTGGCTGGTGCTCCAGGTTGTGAAAATACTTGTTACGGAAGACCTGAATATGATCCAACCAAGGACCCGGAATATATGGAATTCAAGAAGTTGGAAACCTGTATCGAAAATAAGTGTCTCATTCAACTTGGCGCCTGTAAGGAAGATTCTGTTTGTCAGGATTGTTTCCGAGAAGATCTGCCCGAACACTGTTTCAACGACGAGGCGTTCAATGCTGTCATGGATTGCGCCATTTGCAAGTGTACTGAACGGAAGATTGACGCTTTCTGCCAAGCCAAACCAAGCCCCGGGGCCAATTTGCCCGACAAGGAAAAAGATAGCGACAAAGTGGAACACTGCACACCTGCCGAGAACCAACATGGAACTGATGCCGTGCTCTGGTTCAGCCAGTGTTCCGACATTGACCAAATTGCCGAAATGATCACTGAATTTGATCAAAACAACTTTGGACAGCTGGATACTTTTGAATCTTGTGCACACTCGTTTGCGAACGATGCCAATCACGGCGGACACACTGCTCTCGGTTGTATGCAAGTTCTGTACAATACCATGACCAATCCTATTACTGATAATAAAAATGCACCAAAGCAAGCCATTTCGTCGCTTGCTAGACACTTGTACGAGGGGGGTGAAAGCTTTTGCGATTGCGCAAAGGGAGCTTCCGAAATGTGCCCCATGTGCCCAAGCTTCCAAAAGTTCAAGACTTTGTTGTTTGAATCAATGGATGCTTGCAAAGCACTGGACGAGATTGATTGCGATGCTTGGGCCGAATTCTGGCAACCATGCAAGAATAATCTTCAAGGAAAATTCGGAAGTTCGGATTTCAGCTCGAAGGAACAATGTGATTTCGCCATTTTCAACACTTGCGGTGGTGTTGGTCCTTTCCCAGGATTCCGTCATTTGGACTGCGATAAGGAAGTGAGCTCTGAGGCATGGGACTTTTACAAGACTTTCAGCAAGAACTGCAAGGATGGTATGCCCACTCCTGCGCCTGCTTCTCCAACCGTTAAGCCAGTTGCGCAACCTACCAATGCTCCTGTCACAAATGCTCCTAATGCGCAACCAACTTCCCCAACCCAGAAGCCATATGTTCCATCAGATGCCTCTCCAACTCTGAAACCATATGTTCCGCCAGATGCTTCTCCAACTGTGCCATATAATCCACCACCGGAGGCTGCACCCACAATGAGCCCTGTTGTCAACCCAACTCCGTACATTCCATCTGACCAAAAGACAGATACTGGTGGTGAACCAAAGAAGAGCAGTCACTTCTTCCGAAACTTTTTCATTCTATGTTTTTTGGGCGGTGGCGGCTACTACGTCTACAAGAAGCGTTTTGCTACCTTCAACTTTGTCCAGTACCGTCGCCGAGGCGGGAATGGCTACAATGCCATGTACGGTCAAGAGTCAGGAGGATACACTGGTGAGAGTGAAATGTTCAGCAATTTGAACAGCTCGACAACTTTCGAGCCTCCATCCCTACCCCCCACTCCTTCTGCAATGATGGGAACCGAAATGACTTAGACTGGTATTGACTAGTTTTCTTTAAAAGTGTAGCGCAGCAATTATTAAAATACATGTATATATCATTTGGATTGAATAGCAACACTGCAACACCCCCATCCACAGTGTACAATAATGCTCCAGCAAGCTTCGCGCAACCAAAATCGAGCGAACTACGGATCTCGCTTCTCATTTCAGGATCTTCGCCTTTTTTTGAAACCATCACGATAACAAACAACCACGACAAGAATAACATGGCAGGATCATCAAATGGTTATTCATCAATTCCTTCCGTCGAAGAGAAGGAATCCATTGAAGTAGACCCCGAAGATGATGCCAATGGGTGGGATTGGACCCGCCTTGTGCAACTTGTAGTGTCACTCATTGCGTTGATTGCCATTTGTGTCGCAGTTGGAATGTTTATTTACATCTCTGCGGTGGATAATCCTGTAATGGTGCCAGTCGATGTTCCCGCCGACGACCAGCTACCGTTACCAGCTGGTATCAACCTTGCGTCATGGTTGAGTCTGGAAGACTACTTTTTTGTGGGTGATGATGGAGCCGTCGAAGTGGCAACCTTTGAAGGTTCTACAGTGGCCAAGTGTCTGCCTCCCTTGCACGTTGGACCCAGCACGGGACCCATGTGGAATACCGAAACGGATTTGTTTGCTAACTTGATGGAGGAAACAGGATCAGTGGCCAAGACCATTCAAATCTTTCATGCCTTTCGGGAGTCCTACATTGATTTTGATGTGGAACTGAAACAGATTGCCGATTTGGGCATTCAACATGTCCGAGTGCCCATGTCATGGTGCCTCACTGAATTCGACCCATCCAATGATGATATCTTGAAGGATGAAGCGACTAGAAACAATGCTACTCAGTCAAGCATACTGCTAGAACGATATGCTTGCAAGGATCCATTCTTTGAGAAACATCATGGAGAGACACTCTACTGGCCAGCCGTTCCCAAGCCATTGGTACTAGATTTCCTAAGGGCTTGTGCTCGGTATGGAATCAAAGCAACTCTCGACGTTCACACCCTTCCTGGTGGGACGAGTTTGGGTACCTTCAATGGAATTTTTCCCAAAAGCCCTCTCTTTTGGCTTTACGACAACCCAGAAGATCCAGAGAATGATGTTGGACGGACTGTTTTTAGAGACCTACTGTCTTGGATCGAATCCTTGATAGACTCGGACAACGAAGCATTTCAGGGCATTGGAGCTATTACTCCCATGAATGAACCGGCACATTTGGCTGGTTTGTTTGGACCTGGAGCCGCCATACCCGACAAATCATCCTTCCTGCCACCACTTCCCAAAGACGTTGCCGAAGCGTACTTGACAAAACTGAACCAAGATGTAGACGAGTCTCATGCTTTCAAAACGGTACCCGACGGAAACCACCTCCGTTCTTTGTTGTGGCAAGATCAAGCAGTTGCCGCCTTTCGAGAATCCAAACTACCAGATCATGGTATTGATATTTTTGTCAATGTCCACGAGTCCATTCTAGTTCCGCCGTTGGTACCCAATGATAACTACGATTTTGGTGGAAGACATCCAGAAGGTACCGCGATATTCTTATCTTGGTGGAGGGGAGTCACTACTGCAGAGGAGCGAGCAAATTGGGCAGTTCTCGATATGCACCACTACCATGCTTGGGACAACCAATGCCAGGGCGCCGTCAATGGATCTCCCAGTGGAAGTTATACTTGTGGCGACTTGAACGCCATGAATGCCGTGTTGGACCAGTGTACCACTTGGGCTACCATGTACCGAGACATTGCCGACTCCCAACTTGGCAAATCTGGTGCTCGATTGGTGTCGGGTGAATTCTCCGCTTCGACGCACCATTCCGTCCGTCACTCTTGCTTGGATGTGACGACACTCCATGCGTCTTATACACAGCAAGTAGAGAAGGCTCAAGCTGCGGGTGTGGAACTCTATTGGTGGGGTTGGAAGATGCCCTATGGAGGAACCTTTCGTCGAGCCTGGTCCTTCAAGCACTTTCTTTATCTCATGGGTGCCAATGGATTTACCAAACCAGACGAAACGGACATTCCTTGCGGGGTGTAGTGATAGCTATCATGTGTGCCATTTACGTAATTTTAACTAACAAGCTAGTTAGCTGGGGTAACTATCCAGTAACTTCTGTAAACAAGTTCGATGTAACGTTATAGCTTTGCGAGGTCTTAACATTGACTAGTACGACTAGAAGACAAAGTACAGAACAAGCTCCACAAAACCTTCCTCACAGGCGAAATACTCTTGGCGCATCTGTTCTATTGACAACCCTTCTCGTATTCTGGCCAGCCATCTTGGCATCACTGTACGGTAGCATTGCCATTTCATTGTCTCAGATTGCATTTATACCTAACAATACATTGGTAGCATTCTCGGCATACCTAGCACATACATAAGCAGCAAGCAATAAATGACAACTCTGACTCAGGAAGCCGTGGCTGCCACCCTTGGTTCGTTGGACGATTGGCAAAGCTTTGTTTCACTGTATAGCATCCAAATCACAGTGGGAGCGGTACTAAGTGCACTGACTATCTATAGAAAGCAACTTAGCAGCAATCGATGCTTCCATGAAGATGGTGATGACGAACATAAGGTAGCGGAGGAAGACGAACCTTCCTGTTTGTCCTACGAATTTGAAATGCAAGCCGAAGAACTATTGGATGGCGCAGGATTGTATTGTTCGGGAGCCCCAATTGTATCGTTATTGACAAATTGGCTTGAATGCTTTCCTGGAGACGACGTAGAAGGCAAGAAACTATGGCTGCAGCAAGAAGAACTGACCACTTCGGACTTGCTGGAGAAGGCTGGAAACTATTGCTCGGTGGAGCTCATTGAGGAAATTCTATTGTTATTTCACAAGAAAAAATTGGCAAAAACAACCGCAACAGCAAAAGAAGAAGATCGCTTTACGCATACCTTTCCTCCGGACATTCATGTTCATATCGCTTCGTTTTTGCACCCCAAAGATGTCACAACTCTTTCGTGTGTGTCCAAAAGCTACAATGAAGTAGTGAGTAACAGCGAGACCTCAAAACAAATCTGGAGATCACTTTGGATGCGAGACTTTTCGTGGTTGGTTACCAATTGGGATGTTGGCATTCAAGCCTTAAGCCGATCAAACCTTGAATCAACAAATTGGGAAACTACTATGGACAAGACATTTTACTTCATGTTTCGACAGACCTATATCAATTGGATCATTGCTGGCGAGAATACCATGAACAGATGCTTGGTGGGTCTGCATGGGAATATTTACGATATTTCATCATTTCTGAATGCACATCCTGGATCACCAGACACTCTAATGGTTCATTCCGGTCAGGACGCAACTCGATTCTTTGAAGATATCAATCATTCCAACGGAGCTCGGAGACTGGCGAAATCACTTTGTGTCGTTCTCGACTTGTCATCGACATCAGAGGAAGCATGGGGAGTTCGACCGACATCGTTTGCAAAGCTAGCATTCAATGCATCCAACAATGATGTTGTCGACCCAGGGAACCCACTTCTTCTAGGAAGAAAGGAACGAAAAGGACTAGGGACGCTTTCCTGCATCAAGGAACGAATCAAGGAAGAGCGGAAACAGGTGGAACGACGAAATGCACGGAAGTATGCGTCCGACTCGACCGTATTGGGAGGTCAAGTCAATACTTATTATGACGCATTCCGAAGAGAATGGCGGGTTTGGTACACTGACTCTGAACTCCAAAATGTATTTGCACCCGCTTGAGAATCGAAACAAAGGACGAGTGGAAGAGAATGACTGGCTCCTGGCGCTAACAAGAGAGCAAGCCATGCCGCATAACGGGATGAAGGGTTTCGATGCAAAGACCAGGCACATTCAAACAAGCTAGCAAATTGCACCACACAAGCGTCATGTTATCCATGCGAGCACATGCAGTAACTCGCTCAGAGAAATGAATCATCTTGTGTGGATGTACCGCTATACAGCGCTATTAATGAAAAAAAAACATGGAACGACTCTTTCAAGTGCGCACGTACTTGTGAATAATAATACAAAAACTAAGCTATAAAAGTAAGCCACCGAGCTACAGTCTCTGTTCCAACCTTTCGACTTTCACGCCAGCTCCCCATTCCCTGTAGTAGCGGATGGCTTGTCTCAATGATTCCTTCGACTTTTCGTTCATCGAACGCTCTTCGAGAAAATCCGAGTACCGTTCATGGATCAATCCAAGATGGTGCAAGTGCCCTACAGCAGTTACTGCTTCAATGGCTTCTTCATACTTTTGCTGTGCTGAATCATATTTCTTGTCCAATGCAAACTGCTCAGCGGTGAGGAACAGGTGATAGTAGAGGACATTAGGATTTCCTGCCGCTTTCCATTTGCCAATCATCTTCAAAAGTCTCCTGGCTTCCACTCGATACTTTCTCTTTTTGGTGCTGCGGGCAGCAGCGTACAGTGGAACTGCTCTGGAGAATGGCTCGGCGATATTCACCAAGAAACCAGGGCAAAGCTTGGCAAACATATCTTTCACCTCTAGTGCTCTCTTGGCAGCGGTTTCATAGTCGCCATTGAACAACGCCAATTCACCTTGAGCCAAGTTGACAAAGGCTACATGAGTGTTAAGAGTCTCTTCGTCGCTTTCTGCACTGAAAATATCGCCTTCGAGCTCGGAAGGATTGGGACATGAAGGATCCGAGAGGTTCTTCATCATTTGCCACAGAACTTTCAACGCCATTGCATTGGACGATTGGGCAGCATCCTCGCACTGGATTAGAGTCTTGGGGCACTCATTCAAAATGGACGCTAGAGGTCGACCCATTGTATAGGGGAGCGATATCTTGTTTGAGACCAGATTACAGATAGCATATTCCAAGTCTCCAGATCTCAGGCCCTCTGTGACAACATTGCCCATTGGTGTCAACACCTCATTGAACGGTTTGACCCAACACAAATTTGCACCAAAGATGATGAAGGTCTTGGAGCAAGAAGATAGAAATTAGAACAGTCGTCAGTTCACTCATCAACCTCCATCATACTACTTACTGTTTCGCTACTGTGCATTCCTCGGAATTTCCGAAGCATTGACAGCGCAATCGTATTGAAGGTAGTCGCAGTCGTATAATCTTCCATGGAAATGATGATGGCACTCCCAAGTGATGCAAAGCACTTGGCAGAGAATTCGTTAACGCCGTAATCCAGCGTCATTTCCACCAATTTACATGCAGTCAAAACAAAAAGAAGCATGTCTCCTGCCATGTACGAATAGTACACAAGTTTGGAGTACACTGTTGCAATCGCTTTCTGACGTGGATCGTCCATCGGAACCATCTTGTCATAGAAGCTTTGAGGTGTTGCCTTTACCCTCTTGATTATGCGCATTAGTTTGACAATCGACTGCACCGGTACGAGTCTCCTCGCCCATGTTACTTTGCACCCCATTTCGTCAAGAAGTTGCAGGTAGACCTTTACGGAATCGTCAAACTTCAGATCGTTGGATCCAGTGGAACTCGCTTTGGCCATCTTTAGTGGAATGGTTTCCATGATTGAAAGATCTGGTTGGCTGAGTACCTCACTACTATATCGTTCGGAAGCGGCGAAATTCCCTACCATGGCCTCCATTTCGGCCGCCAAAGTATACAGCTTCAGGGTTAGCGAGCGATCTGTAGACCACTTATCATTTTTCAGCAGACCAATGCCATGAGCTGCGTACTCTGCTGCTGACTGAAAAGCGCTCAAGTCTCTGGCCTTTTCAGCTGCTCGTAGGTTAGCACTTGCAAACTCAGTCAGCCTCAAAACGTTTCCGCTATTGATAAGATCCACAATGGCAAACAATTCATCTTCAACTTGGTTTTTGTCCAACCCATAGTATAAAGTTCGGCCAATGTCAAGCTGGAAAGATTCACGACGCTTGCCAGTTAGACTGAGAGCGGCTTCCTGGAGTTTGTCATGAACCCATCTGAAAGTGTTGTTATCAGCCTTTTCCAAGATCTGTTCTTTCACTATGAAGTCGAGCAGCAAAGCAGTGCGCTCAGTCTTGCTCTCGACCAGTCTACGACCGTATGACGTCCAAACAAGATCGATTGTCGATCCGGTGAATGTCGATCCGATATACGCCGCACATTGTAGCAATGCTTGAACTTGATGCGGCAACTTGGTCATCTGGTCATGAAGCATGGCAACGACGTTGGCGGTAGACATGGTGGCACCGTCGATTTTGTCTACATCCCAAGTCCATAAGTCAGAATTAGCATCACAATGTAAGAGCCCTTCTTGATGAAGCATCTTGAGGAATTCCAACACAAAAAAAGGATTTCCAAGTGTACGCTTGAGACAGATAGTAGCAAGACCAAGCGTCCCAGCCACGTTTGGATTTGGCAACGTGGATGTGATAATCTGTTCGATCTCGTTGATACCGAAATGCCCAACCTCAATTTCCGTGAGATGAAACCAGTGTTTTTCAGTCATTTCTTGTAGGGCTACGATCTTGTTGTGGAGCAGACTATTTTCGTCTACCTCATCGGATCTGTAGCATCCAATGATCATCAAGGGATTCTCGTTTTGGGCATCCGTCATCAAGAAGTCCAGTACTTGAAGGGACGATACGTCTGACCACTGCAAATCATCTAGGAAAAGGACCATTGGCGACGCAGCAGAGCTGAAGGCTCTCATGAGAACACGAAAGGCAAAACGCAATCGCTCGACTTTGCTATCGATTTCATCTGCTCCGATGTCCATCACTGCTGGGTCGTTGAAGGTATCACTTATGAGATCCCTAAGCTCGGGGATCAGATGCAGTAGCAAATCGACATCACTGCCCAGTTCTTTGTTGATGCATGCTTGAACGGTGCAAAGTGCCTGAGCTGGAGCCTCCTTGATCTTGAGACATAAGCTGCCGAAAGCTTTACAAATGCCAGAAAACGGTTCGCTGCTTGTATTCATGTCAAACTTTCCTTGAACGAAGATACCATTGGTGTGCTTCAATACCTCTTTTTCTAGAGTGCGAGTGACAGCAGTCTTGCCCGATCCAGATTTTCCGGCGATAAGAACGAGCTCCTTTCTGCTCTCGAAGGTGTTATTCTTCTCATGTAATGACGCGTCAATCATGCGAGCAAAGCATGCGTCGAGGGTTGCGACTTCTCTCTCTCTACCAATCAGTGGCATAGACTCAAAGTCCAGCGCCTGATTCGTTGAATCATTTGATTGAGCTTGATATGAAAATGATCGTCTTCCAGTAGTCCTTGGCTTTCGTAGTTCTGCTGCCTTGTGGGAGCTTAAAACCGAAGAGCCACCATCCTCCGAAGTAACGGTTGCAGCAGTTGAAAACACACTTCTGTTTGCAGAGACGACTGATACGCCAGCCTTGTGGAAGGAATGTTCATCGCTGCTTCGATATGAAGAGGAGAGATCATTTTGTTTTGATTCGTCATCTAAAGCTGGAGGCATTTTGTCTCTTTGTTTCACTCTGTTTTCGTATCAGACAGTTTTTGTGACTGCTTTCAATGATTTCGGTACATTTGTGAAAAATGACCGATTGATTCTCGTACCGGTACACTGTACTGGGTACATAGTGTAAAAAGCCTGCATACAAAACTTTTGGAAGACAATATTTATCAGTTTGCACAAGAATGGAATACTTCTCCCGTTCCAGCTTCTTTACCCACTTTCGATCTTACATAAGGGCCCAGATGGTGTCTTGTGATATTTCACCATGTATTAATTATAATTTCTCCGGTACCGGACATTGAGATTTTCGTGCCCCTTTAAGGGGGTTCGGTTCGATCGATTTCTGCGGGACCGTGCGTTCTTTTTAAAAAAAGAAATATGTTTTTGAAATACCTGGCTTTACCGCGTTAATCATATAGAACAAATGATTTATTTCGGTGGTATTTAAGGAACCTTTGCATAGAAAAAATGCTGTTACTCAAATATAAAACGCGTTCAAAACAAGCATATTAATTAATATTACTGGCTTTATGACGAAAGGTCTTCTTGGCCGATTCAAAGAATATCCGTGATTGCGAAACTTGTGAAGAATATCCGTTTCTATTCAATACTGTACACGTATTTTAATATGTACAAGGAATACATTTCCAACTCAACTCGATCTTTTACTAGCCAGAGGCTCGAGCTCCCACAGGAATCTTTCCCGCGCGGTGGTAAAATCAGCTGCCATCGATCATACCGGTACCAGGTACGGTACCAGTACCGTACGTATTCCAAATTAAATAGAAAAATTATAAAATCACTGACAACGTTTTTATGACTTTTGTTTACCGGAACGGCTGGGAAAATCAATTTTTACTCACAAGAATTGTATGCTAAATTTCTATTTCCCGCCTTTCCCGAGAGTACCGGTAGAGTCACCAACCACCGAACATTATTGATCGGCAAGACGAAAGACGCACGTGGGACTTGCGAGCTCCCCCTAGTCTCAGTGAAGTATAGGTGTACGGTTGGCGGACGGAGTGAAGAGCGTCCTCGTTGGTTTGCAATGAAAGCTTGGAGACACTAGAAGGGGCATACCGGTAGCTGCACGGTCGAGACTGTCACCTTTTGCTTTTTCCCCGCCCTTACCACCTATGTTTTCTCTCATTTGCACCATTGCTCGGTACCTATTTGGTCCGGGTTTGTTGTCCTTTCGAATCAAGAGTATAGTTCGAATCCTATGATTGATTCGACCTCGATGCAAACCAGTCCCTAACTTAGTATGTAGCCTGTAGATTATTGACAATATTTCCATGGTAGCATACGCGTGCGATCCCCAAGACAAGGCTACATCATGCGGTCCAAGCACAGGAGTGGAGGCGGCGCCGGGTAATCTAAGGCTCCCGAAAGCATGTTTTGTTTTTGTTCGATCCATTCGACGTCCAACCATTAGTCATTTGATTGATGCTATGCAAGAACATGGATGCAATGCTGAAAGGAGTTCGATCTTGCTCCTAATCATGCCACATTCTTAACCCTGTCTCTTGATTTGCAATCAACGAAAAGCAATGAAGAATCACATCGTACAGAAAGCAGCAAGTCCTTTAGCAATTACTATTATTATTATTACTACTACAGAAACTAAGCCACCAAGCTACAGTCTCTGTTCCAACCTTTCGACTTTCACGCCAGCTCCCCATTCCCTGTAGTAGCGGATGGCTTGTCTCAATGATTCCATCGACTTTTCGTTCATCGAACGCTCTTCGAGAAAATCCGAGTACCGTTCATGGATCAATCCAAGATGGTGCAAATGCCCTACAGCAGTTACTGCTTCAATGGCTTCTTCGTATTTTTGCTGTGCTGAATCATATTTCTTGTCAAATGCAAACTGTTCAGCGGTGAGGAACAGGTGATAGTAAAGGACGTTTGGATTTCCTGCCGCTTTCCATTTGCCAATCATTTTCAAAAGTCTCCTGGCTTCCACTCGATACTTTCTCTTTTTGGTGCTGCGGGCAGCAGCGTACAGTGGAACTGCTCTGGAGAATGGCTCGGCGAAATCGAGCAAGAAACATGGGCAAAGCTTGGCAAAAATATCTTTCACTTTGAGAGCTCTCTTGGCAGCGTTTTCAAAGTCGTCATTGAACAAGGCCAATTCACCCTGAGCGAAGTGGACAAAGGCTAAATGAGTGTTGGTAGTCTCGTTGTCGCTTTCTGCACTGAAAATATCGCCTTCGAGCTCGGAAGGATTGGGACATGAAGGATCCGAGAGGTTCTTCATCATTTGCCACATAACCTGCACGGCCATTGCATTGAACGATTGGGCAGCATCCTCGCACTGGATTAGAGTCTTTGGGCACTCGTTCAAAATGGAGGCTAGAGGTCGACCCATCGCATAGGGGATCGATATCTTGCTTGAGACCAGATTCCAAATAGCAAACTCGGGCTCTCCGGATCTCAGGCCCTCGGTAACGACATTGCCCATTGGTGCAACCAACTCATTGAGCGGTTTGACCCAACACAAATTTGCACCAAAGATGAGGAAGGTCTTGCAACAAGAGGTTAGGAAATGCGAACAGTTGCCGTTTCATTCATAAGCCTCATTGATACTTACTGTTTCGCTACTGTGCATTCCTCGAAACTTCTCAAGCATTGACATCGCAATCATGTTGAACGTAGTCGCAGTCTTGAAATCTTCCATGGACATGATGATAGCACTCCCAAGCGATGCGAAGCTCTTGGCAGAGAATTCATTGACGCCAAAATCTAGCGTCATTTCCACCAATTTACATGTAGCCAAAACAAAAAGAAGAATGTCTCCTGCCATGTACGAATAGTACACAAGTTTGGAGTACACTGTTGCAATCGCTTTCTGACGTGGGTCATCCATGGGTACCATCTTGTCGTAGAAGCTTTGGGGTGTTGCCTTTACCCGTTTAATGATGCGCATTAGTTTGACAATCGACTGCACCGGCACAAGCTTCCTCGTCGTCGTCCATGTCACTCTGCAACCAATCTCGGCAAGAAGTTGCAGGTAGAACTTAACAGAATCGTCAAACTTCAGATCGGTGGATCCAGTGGAACTCGCTTTGGCCATCTTTAGTGGAATGGTTTCCATGATTGAAAGATCTGGTTGGCTGAGTACCTCACTACTATATCGTTCGGAAGCGGCGAAATTCCCTACCATGGCCTCCAT